AGCGAGTCCAGAGGAGGCCACGAGGATGCTCCGAGGGCTGGAGCCCCTCTGCCATGGGGACAGGCTGGGAGAGTTGGGGGGTTCAGTCTGGAGAAGGGAAGGCTCCGGGGAGACCTTATAGCCCCTTCCAGTGCCTGGGGTGGGGGGCTGTAAGAAAGCTGGAGGGGACTTTTCCCAAGGGCAGGGAGTGACAGGACAAGAGGTAACGGGTTAAACGGAAAGAGGGAGATTGAGATGGGACATCAGGAAGGAATTCTTCCCACAGACGGTGGGGAGGCACTGGGACAGGTTGCCCAGAGAAGCTGTGGATGCCCCATCCCTGGGAGTGGCCAAGGCCAGGCTGGATGAGGCTTGAAGCAACCTGGTCTAGTGGAAGGTGTCCCTGCCCATGGCAGGGGGGGGGACTGGGGGGGCTTTCAGGTCCCTTCCAGCCCAAACCATTCCGTGATAGCAACAGAGTAGGAAAAATATATGCAAGCGCTATATTCTGGTTTTCTTCTTTTTTTGAGGCACTGCCCAAGCAGAGGAGGAACCTTCTCTTTTTCAAGTTATGTCACATTAAGGCCTTTTTGACCTTTTAAAACTTCCTGGTAATTACGTTATGGTTGATTAGATACTTACATGGGATTATTGAATGGCAGTTACTCTTCAATTCCTCTAATCCTTCCAAAGGAGAAATAATCTCCTCACTGAATTTCAACAAGGGCTGCGCTTGGGGAAGGTGGCTGAGAAAATGTCTCTGCAAAGAAGTACATGGAAATTGATACCATCTGGGTTTGGCTGGAAACTGAGCATCTTAATTTTCAGCCCTTTGTATTGTATTTGGGGGAGTAGGACTTGAATAAAAACAAACAAATAACTGACCATCAACAAAATACCCCTCAGGTTTCTTTCTCGTGGACCAAACACAAACTCCGTATTAATTTGTGCAAACAAAAGGCGCTTGTTACTGAATTCCAACTGTGTTGTCTGTTTGCCAGGCATACCAAACTGGCTGAAGGCCAAAGCAGGTATTGGATTACTCTTCCACTTGTGCTGGGTGGTTCAAAACAAAACTTGCATCCTGTCTTATCTGGAGTGTCACATAGTTGAGTAAGATAGCAGCTGATAAACAGAAATGTGGCTGAACTTGGATCTGCTGCTACTGGTGGCTTTTCACTAGAAATTCTTACCTTCCTGAGCCACAGCAAGTGGCACGAATTGGAATAAAGCTGCTGTAGGCTAGAAAACAGCTTTGTGGTTAAAATATTGCAAATCAGCTTCAAATTTCATGTATTTAAAAAAAAATGCTGTCCATATAAAACCCCTGTGAGCATCCTTGTAGTACTGCATGTATCCAAGAGCAGCACAGATCATCTTCAGAGTACCTCTGGACTGCAAGCAGGCCAATAGCACCTTTTCTTGGATGAAAACACAGGGACAAGTGGATGAAGTCACTTATCCAGCATTGTGCAGCGAGTCGCTGGCAAAGCCAGGATACCTTTTTGGTCAGTATCTGTAGGTATTGAAGGAGAATAATTAGGTCACTCGGCAAGATGTGTAGGAGCAGCTTCTAACCAGAAGTTAGAACTGTGCTAGCCCAAAGGGAAATTAGTCATATTGATGAGAAAGTCTGGAAGAATATTCTCCTCCTTCTCTCCTCAGCTTATCCCATCCTTTTTTAAACTTTTGAGACATCCATTCCCATTTTTTAATGCAGAAGAGCTACCATAGTGTGCCCCAGCTCAGGAAACCGAGCACCTCTTAGCAGTCTTGAAGCAGATGGAGTTTATACGGGAGCTGCATGGAAAATAATGCTACTGAACCAGCTGCACAATGTTCTGAAAAGCTGTGGAAGGCAAATTTGGAGCTCCCAGTCAAAACCCAAATGTGAACGAGCTCTGGATGGCATCGCTGAACTAGGATGGTGTTGCATCTCAGCTAATTTGTGTAGCTTCTCCCCAGACCTCATTAGCCAGGCTACGTCAGTGACATAACTGGCTGTATTACTTCTGAGACCTGAGATTCCTGCCCCTCTTGTGCCACCCGGTTGTTCCAGCTCACTCACGGATTGTAGGCTATCTCCTGTCTGGTCCGACGCAGGCGGAATGTCCAGCGACAGCACGCTGCTGTGCAGCGCAGCCGGCAGGAGGAAGAGCCGTACTTGCGATGCTGTTAGGGCTCTCGGGTTTGGCGCAGCACAAGAGCTTGGGTTTTACTGTCTTCCACCAGAAATTGGAGCTGTAGGAATTGTGCTGCCAATCTTGCTGCTGGTTTGGGAGTGTCTGTCTCTGGTGCTACATGGGGAATCTATGTGAAAATGGACACTTTTCTTACTTGAAAGTCTGAGGAACATTATTTATGCTTCCGTTTGGAAAATTCATTCTAAAAAAAGTTCTAGGAGTGTCTGGCTGGTGGCAGGTGCACTAGGAACCTACATTTAGGGACTGCTCGCTGGGTTGTAAATAATGCCATGCAATACGGAGAGGGCCGTGATCTAGAGATGCTCGTTTGCTGAGGGCAGTTGAAATAAAATTCTGACGCGTGAGATCCTTTTCTTGGGTCACTTACGGTTTAGAGCTGTCTTGAATCAGTGCTCCGTATCATGCTGGGATTGAGCAGGTGAGCTGGGAAGGACAGGCAGGGTAAAAGGATGCACTTCAGATCTCTTTTGTTGCCAAACTCTGGAGTGGCTGTATCTTGTGCTCTCTGAAGTGGTGAGCCCTTGCAGAGGAGAGAGATCTAAGCACAGCACGCAGCTGTAATCCAGCCTTAAGGCGGCGAAGAGCCTGGGTGGGTGCGATAAGGTCTGTGCTGGGAAGGCAGCACATCCCCAAGGGCAGCGGGGATGCGGAGGGAAGCGGGTTGGGAGCTGCCAGTGTTGCAGCCGGAGCAGCCCGAGGTGTGCAAACCAGGTCCGTGTGTCCGGGAGAGCATCAGGGGTGGTGGCGATGTGGGGTTTGTCTCTTCCAGCGGCTGCGGGGGAAAACCCTCGGGCTGAGGCGTTGGTGTGTGTTCATGCGTGGACCCCATGGAGCTGTTACACGAAGGGCTCAGCAGTGCTGACGGTCGAGCTTGGATGAGTCTGTCTTGAAATCACTGAACTCCTGACATCCCAGCGCCAGCGCCTGCATTGCACACGGGTTTTTGGGGGGTTTTCTTGCAGTGTTGGGATCTGCGGTGTCACAGGAAGCCCGCACAGTCTGTGGCTCCGTTCCTGTTCCTGTCTGATGATGAAGAGATCCCTCTCCAGGGCTG